GTGTTTACCGCCACCAGCGCTCAACCAAGGCTCAGTATTCCTAGAGACCAGCCAAATCGGAACGTTTGAGGTCACTGCAGCAAATGAATCTGATATCCAGAAGATCCGATGAACTAAAGAGCAAGGAGTTAGAGCGCCTATGCCAGCAAGGATTGCCAGAACACCGCAATCAAGTGTCCGAGTTAGCCACAGCTTAGTGGGACTACAGACATGACATTGCAGTCATTAATAGGATCATTTTGAAGCGCGAAAGGATCGTGGTGCCGCAGAAGATGCGAGAGTGTTTACTCCAAAAGCTGCACCGAGTCCATCAAGGAGTGGATAAAGTGGATAAATCTATCCAAAGAGCCAGGAACACGTGGTTCTGGCCTGGCATGACTGAACAGATCAGAGGCTTATTCTGACCTGCCCATCCTGTCTGGAGCACCAACCCACATAGAAAAAAGCAGCAGTTACCCTTGTGATCACAACCAATGCCATGATCATGGGTTGTGACATTTTCCAACATGCTGGTCAATGATATAGTTGCATCGTTGACCACCACACAGGGTACCCATGAGTAAAGCCAGTCAAGAGCCAAGAAGCAGATACAGTATCCAACATTTTCAGAGTGTTTGTAACCAGTTTGGTTATCGTACGAAGGTAGTACGCGATCGAGGCTCACAATACACTTCCAGTGGCTTCCAAGAACTCTGCTTGCAATTCAACATCATAAACAAGGCAGGGACCCTTCACTTTCAGAGGAAAAACGGCCACTGCGAAAATGCCGAATGGGAGGCTCAATAGATTAGTTGAGAAGTCCAAGTACGAAGAAACGCCAATGGAAGACATGCTTCTGAACATCCGCGACACACCACCAGATGCCAATACCCCTTAACCCTATGAGCCGATGTTTCACAGGAAGGTCAAATGAGATCTACCTTCAATACCACTCAGCCTGTTCGACAGCACAAACAGCAACAACGCAGGCCGAAGGAGTGTTAAACACGCCAAAAGAACGAATGAAGGCGAAAACAGAAGTGAACCACCAAACAGAGGTGAACATCAAACAGTCATGTTTATGAAGAAACTTCAGGAAAGGAAGACCCGACGGTCATGTGGGGCAGTGGTTTCAATGGACGGAAAACGATCATACACCGTAAAAGACGACACAACTGGAACAGTTCGTTTCACCTCTTGCAACGACTTGTGCTGAACAAAGGGAGGAAGACACATCAGTGCCAGTGCAAATGCCAAACGCCAATGTTACGGATAATCCACCAAAGCCGCAGCCAAAGATCCCCAGAAAGCAGAAAGCTGGTGTTGGCCCGTCACTTGTACCTAGGCCCTCCCTGAGGGAAACTACATCCGGGCTCCCCATTTAATGTTGTTGTTGTAACACGAAGTGCTCGTGGTCAAGCTCGGGAATAAAGACTGTGTTCATTGAGCCCTCGATATTGTTTGAGTCGTCTGTACTGCCTGACACTGGCAATCCATCAGAAAGCGTCGAAACATCCCGCCCAAGGCGTGCTATCGAACCACCAGCGAAATATGGATACGAATAAAACCTCGGAAGTGACCTTTACCATGCGACTTGTAAAGGATGCAGCAATGACCAGTGCAGAATGACCAAGGACTATGAGCATTTAAAATAAAATTAAAAAAAAAGTAATATCTAAATCAGAACACGGATAGAAATTAATTTTTAGTAAATACTAACCTGATGATTATTCTGTGTTCCCAGCAGGATTTCTCTTGCAATCACCTTTTTTTTTTTGGAACGCCATCGGAGGTCAGAAGTTAGGAACGATGGGGTAACTAAACCGGGGTAGCTAAAAAAAACTGCCAGGGAAAAACCCGCCCATTACATCAGATGTAGAACTGTACGTCCACCCACACTTATCTTCACATTCCTTAATTCTAGGAGTGACGGGTCTTTAATGGTAGGAAATTTAACGTTTTACACATAATAACAGTCGTAGGTCCAGAGAAATAGAAAAAGAATTGGGAAATTTGGTTTTCGTCAGAAGGTCACGTAATGTGTTTCACTTGTAACCGTAAGCTAGCTAAAGCTGACAACATTTTCATAGCTTCAACCCTCTAAATAAATAAATTTTTACTGTAAGACTTAAGTAAATTATTTAAATCTTATTTGAATTTGTTTTGTTTACATTTCTTCTTTATTTCTTGTTGATAAAGGAACATTAAATCAGAACTGAGCAGGCTTTAAAGCGTGCGACACGGGACTTTTACCGAATAGAAGTTTTGCCATAAGTTTTTCTCTTTGACCTATGTCATCATCTCATCGTGCGGCAGAAATTTTTAAGGCCGCAAATTTTCTAATTTGCAATAAAATACTCTCAAAACTCTGCTGTTGTCCAATGAGTAAATGTCGTGACATCATTGTATACAACCTGTGCAATGATGCATGAAACAGCAATTAATCGTGAACAAAGCTGTTGCTTGGTGACTTTGTCAATAAAATGGACAACTAAGCCTCTTGATTACAAATTTTGCTGATACGTGACTCCTTTGAGAGGCTTTTTTAAATTTTATTCTTTTTCCAAGGGCATTCATTCTGTATCGGAACGAAGCTTTAAATCACGGTACAAGGATAACACTTTCGAGCACTTTAGCGATATCTTATTTCATCTAAAGCGCGCGTGTAAACGGGATTCGATTCTTCCAGGAGCATGTAAATGACTACCTAAGCTCCTCTCTGACAAGTAGCTACACAAGCCCTCACGAGAAAATGGGTGCCATAGTTTCGCATCGTAAAGGCCAGAGAAGGATATCACGCGCAGAACAGAAAGCAGTGTAAGTTTTGTGTCAAGATATTACCGTTGATGAGTGTACAAATCGAACACTTCGAGTTCATTATGTGTTTATTGCAGTTCATATTTGCACATTTGCTTTGGGGAATGTGGCGTTCAGAGTGTATTCTGAGTGCTTTTACTGACAATCTTTCTCTTTTATCTCCAAAGAGCAGTTAATGCATTTGCAACACACTCAAAGAAAAGTGAAAACTCAAAGCAGGAACTCGAAGGTATCTGAAACAGATTAAGAGTTGTTCAATTTCACTTGTGATATTTATTCACGATTGGTGAATATTTCATAACAATGTACAATAAGCACATAAATAATGCATAACTTTATCTTTGCTCTCAAATAAGAAATTGCTTTGTGCTCTGGGGGTATCTTGACATGAAAAATAAAATCATAGCTATATATTAATCAATAATTTTTGCTATTCATAACATGGACTTTGCAGTAATTATTGAAGAAGAAACTATTTTTAAAGGTTTTATTAAATGCACATTACCATAAAGTGCCAATTATCCATTACTGCAAAATCTAAGAAAAGTTACTGCTGACGTAGCAAAAATCAGGTCTGTTGTGTTCACTGTGATGAATCAAAGAATTGAAGATTTCAGGACACAAACCATCTTCTAATTGCCCAAATTATTTTACATGTTTTCTGCAAATGTTGCTATTTTATTTTAAGGAAATGTTGACCAACGTCAAAAAAATCAATCTGCTTCAAATTTCAACTTTATTAGCTCCTACTCAGCCACCTGCACCCAAGACCAGTTCTGCAACATCCAGGAGCAGTCCAAACATTGCTGTGGCATCTTGGGGTGAAGGGATTGTGGGAACATCCTCTCATTCATTAAATGATAAGGGTGTGATCACTTCCAGGGGTGTACAAAATGAGGTCAAGTCTAGTAAGGAGATGTACCCATCACTAAAACCCAGAACACCAGACTCAAACAAAAATACAGAGCTGTACACAGGCTTTGCCACAGTCACACCAATATCAACCCAGACAGACAAAGACCTGGCAGCCATAACTATTCAAAGGTACTGAAATTTTAAAGTTTTCTTAGCTTGGAAACTGCCAGACAAAAAAATAAGAGGTTGTAGTTTTAGGTCATAAACTTGTTCCACACTCCCCTTGTGACTGAAAAAAATTATTTTGGTAGGTAATTTTCATCATTCTTGTCATAGACATGTGAGAGGCTACCAGTCCAGAAGGCAGCTTGAACAGGAGGAACTTTCAGCAAGAATTATTCAAAGGTATTTATTTGCCTATGTAAAAGAACATTGCATTAAGTTTTATTTGAATTAGCACTCAGAGTGTTCAAATTAACCAAATAATTACAAATTTTGAAACCATCAGAGGCTACCGAAAGTACAACAAAACAAAAACAGAAAGGAATGATCCTCAAAAGTCAGCAGACATTGTTAAAGGAGAAGGAGATGATAGTAGCAATGAGGATGAAAATAAAACAGATGAAAGAAGAAAACCTGAGTATAGGAAGCCATGGAAAGAATCAACAGCTGTTGCTCCAGTACTAGACACTGATGTTAAAATTGGTGAGATAAATACTTACATGTATCATTTTTTTCACCAAAATGAACAGAGGGTCAGTCTAGAGGGGAAGGGGCAGCTGTGAGGGTAAAAAAGAAGAGTTTCTCTAGTGGCAAGTGGTCCCACATTGCTGGAGTTTGTCAACACAATTTCCATATCACACAATTACATATAAGGGTACAGCTACTTCATGTCAGCTTTGTATGCTACATGTAATTCACTCTTACTTATAATCAGCTCCCAATTTTTTAAGGTTGTCATGACAGTGTCCTTAGAGCTCTTGGACTCTTCTTAAGGTCATTAAGAAAGCTGGTTCTTCAAGGCTGATTAGGAATGTTTCCCCTAAGAACACAACACAGTCAGCCTGGTTAGGGTCTAAACATGAACCTTTTCATGTTGAATTCAAACAGCTCACATAACTTTAAAAAAAAAAAAACCCTTAATTGACTTTGACTTCTCCCATGGGGCTTTTCAGGGACAATACAAAAAAATTGCAAACTGACGTTATAGATAGACATAGTGTTTCAAAATCTGAACTAGAAGGAGGTAGACCAGTTGGCTACTGTACAAAGATATGCCAAGAAGTCAAACTTGGGGCAAATGAGAACATTTAATTAACAGTCGGGTGGAGAGCTTGAATCCTGTGGGATCATCACATTTTGAAATCAGTGCCCCACTCACTCAGCCACAGTTGCTCCTATTAAGAGAAATTGGGGTCCTGAAAATTAGAAAAACCTTTTTTAAAATGAAATTATTGAGCAAGGGGGGATAGTACATAGAATCCCCTTGTATCCTGTATAATTGTACCGCACATAAACTTTGTATAAATATCATTCAATTTTTTTAGGAGAAAAGACAAAAGAGAGCTTTAACATGTACCAGGAAGACATTACAGATTTGAAGTGGAAAACAGAACAACAGGTAATATAATTATGTGGCATCACATCTATCAGGGCCTTGAAAAAAGGACATGTACAACTATATGTTAACCCTTTAACTCCCAGATCAAATTTGTAATTCTCCTTACTGTCAACCATACAATTCTCATAATTTTAGTTCAGAGAATTTAGTATTGGATTAATTAATTATCCCCAAATTGATATTTTTCTTTATTCTCATGATTTATCTGGTTGATAATGTATTGATATTTTTATGAGGAGAAATTCTGTCTTGGTCACTCATGAGAGTTAAAGGGTTAAAGAGAACTGTCTTAAACCTACCTAATCTCACACTTTGGCTGACTTTCATTCCCAGCATATACCAGTAATACATTTATTGGTGTTTATGCATGCAGACACAAACTTTCATTGATGTGCAAGCTCACCCACTTGTGGCTCTGAAATATTAACTGAATGTTTTTATTATTCTATATGATTTGTTACTCATGGTAAATTAGCTGGAAATGACAACAATGGGAGATGGTTACACGCCTCCAAGATTGGTGGTAAGTGTTGACACTCTCTATACCTTGGGATTAAATAGCAACATTTAGAGATGATCAAAAAGTGAGTATGATTAGCAAAAATCAGGCAAGTCTTGCTGAGTGAGACTTGGTATCCTAGGCTTTGTGGATGTCAGGTTATGCATGGTCACCATGTTTTCAATCATGCCCTTTAAAGAAAGGCCCTGAGCACATGCCATTGGTAAAATAGATTGGAAAGCTTCAACAAATCAGAAGTGATATTTTACAAAGGGTGAGATGAAAACTTGGGTAATCTGCAAAAAAAAGGGCCAGATTGAGAGAGGGGTCAATGATTCAAGGAACAAGCCATTGGTACTGCATGCACAGTGCATCCATAAGTTTATAACTAAAAGAGTGCAAGTGGCAATCTAGGCAAGACCTTTAGTTAGGAATGCACTTTATGCTTATGTTAAGAGCTGGAAATATACATAAATAGTAATTAAAAGACTCTGGTAGGGGGATTTCTAGCCTTCCATTGCCTCAATTGAAGGAAATATAAGTATTACATCCAAAACTAGATAATTATTGAAAAATACTGATTGTAAATTTACATCATCTGAATTTTAAACCACATTAAGCTCATTGCATCAAATGTTCCAAGATCTGATGTTCTAGAAAAGATAGTGAACGAGGATGTTCTTAAATTAAACTATGTGAGTACATGTGTATTACATAATTTATATCTCATATTGTTATACAAAGTAATTTATTTATGGTTACAGATCTTGATATGGTGATATTTGTTTTCCCCGCAATTGGGTCCAGATTCTTTTTTTCTTTCTTTCTTTTTTTTTTTAATAAATTTCCTTATCGGAGGTCTAGAATTTGCTCAGGAAACCAGAGTAAATTTGATGCAAACTGGTCATCTAATTTCACAGCTGTCTGCTGATCTGCCTGCTTTATGTTAATTTACTCTTATACCCCTCTTGACCCCCATGTGACTATTATTAAATATCAGTGAAAGATTACTGCTATTATAAATAGTATTGCTAGTAGAATTATTAAGTCCATTATTGGTATTGTTATTGTTGTTATCATTACTATTAAATAAAAATTACTGTTATTTTTTTTTCTGAGACTACATTTCAATTTCTGTCTGTCTTAATTGAGTGACAAATTGAAACATAATTAATCATTTGAACTATCAATATCTGATCAGCGAGTCTCTCTTCTATTTGCTTAGTAAATCACTTTCTCTGTGAACTTAAGGGAGTTTAAAGGATAATTATACTTAAGTTTTGTTTCTTAATTTTTTTTGTTTTATAGGATTTTTCCATGACAACACTTCAAGTTTTATTAGGTATAGAAAAAATCCCAATTCCATATGTTATATACTTAATGTATTCTGTATTGTAAATCAACATTAAAATTATGCATATTCCACCCACTTGTATTTTGCATGTTGAAGACAAAATCATCACTGCTTCTCAAGGGAAAAATACAATTTGTAATCAAAGTACTTTTTTTAACAGATAAAATTGTAGCTATGCTTGAGGGATTCCAGAGCAGAAGTAAAGCTCAGTCAATAGCACTTGTTTGTCAGGTATATCCAGTTTTTTTGAGATTACAGTAATGATAATGTCTCTTGTTTTAATAGTGTCAAGTTTTATCATATATTTCATCCTTGTTAATTGTCACCATTGCCATGTTCATGCACTGATCTTGTCAAATAAAGAGTCTCATCTAATTCTTAACAATGTCACCTAACAAAAAGATCAAAGTTTCAAATGATCCATCATGTAACTCATCCACTCAGTAATCACATCTCAAATGGTGTGCAAACAGGACATATTCTTTCATACTACTGGTGTAGCTGGCATTATGCCCAAAGAGAAACCACTAAGTAATTTTTTTTAAGTTTACAGGTTAAGAAAGTAATATCGTCTTTAAGAAATTATTGCGATAAATTTCTCAGTTTATAAGATCACTATTAAGTAATTGCTACTGCCATTGTTTTAATACCAGGGAGGACCTGGCTTCTTCAATCCAGTGAAAGGAAAGATGTTCACAAAAGCTAAATTTAAACAAGATGAGGAGATTAAAAGGTATCCCCACTTTATTCTCCATACATGTAACTAGCTAACATATTTAATCAGTAAAGTTCTCAGTGTATAGGTTCTTGAGTAGAAACCTATGTATAGGCTGTACCATACATCTCAATCTGAAGATATTTTGTTACTGAGAAGGATTACTACCCATAAAATCATCTTAATGAAGTGTGAGAAATAGAAACCCATTACCAGATAACATTTTGAAAACCCAAGGTTTCCATGTAGTAATTTAGGATCAGAATAACAGAAAAATGTATGATTTGATTACTCCATATCTGATTGAAAAATAACCCATGTATTCAACTGATACATTGTTGGAGCTTTCTGTGCAGTTGAGAGGTATTTCTGCCATATCTGATGCCTAAATTAACATCCTGCAATTTCCACTCTGCTTTCACTTAATTTTTACAGTTTTTGGAGTAATCTTGGTACAAACATGTCAAAACTTGACCCAGAACACACAAAGATCCACATTATTGGCAATAATGTGACTGGAAATGAGAAAGGAGAAAAATTATTGAAGTTTCTTTCCAAGGAAATGCAACCATCAAAAGTCAAGGTTGAGTCACCATTAGAATTTGGACAAGCAGGTGAGTGGTTATTTAGACTTCACAGCTGGGTATTCTCTCCAAATAATCCATCAGGTAATCAATCTATGTACTTTAACTGATTATGCAAGCTACATGTAAATCTGAGTTGTTATCACCAGATCTGCTTCCCTCTTGTCTGATATGACAAGTTTTCTTATAGAATAAATCCAAGATTGGATTGTTTTACTCATCTACTGGTATAATATTTTAAATTTCATTCTTTTACTTGAGAGACATAAACTTGTTTGATAATGAACCCATTACAGAAAAAGACCATTGATGGGAAACCTTACTCAATGAATTCTGTTCATTACAATGAAAAAAAATTAAACTTAGGACAACTATTTGCTTTTTGAATCAGATCATGTTTAGACACAAATAACTGAACCTGACCAGCTCAACTTTTGATTTTTCCTGCTCTGGTTGGTCCAAAGTGACATTTTATCATAAAAGTCACATTAATCTGAGATGTGGCCCTATAGTGTATTGTCACATTGCTTTTGTTAATTATACTGCAGAGAAGACTTTTGAGATGTTGAAAAGTGCTTTAAGTTTTACTACTAAAGTACCTACAATTATATAAAAATACCATTGTGTAAGAAAATGTGAGAAAATAAAATTCAAGTAAGCTAACTGATTTTCATTGTATTAGTAGTAAGGAAATTATGCTTTCTTTTTCCCTTTCTCTTTTTAATTTTAGGTAAAGAAATGCTGGCCCTCTATTTTGATCATGACAAGTACAGAATATGGAGAAGCAAAATGCATTCCAAAGTTTCATTTACCCTTTGACTTTTTTTAACCCTACAATTGTGTAGTTTCCCTCCTTTTGGTCTCATTTGCTATGCAAGTTGATGTATCATGTTCATACAACACACTAAATAATAATTTATTATTTATTTATTTCGCATGGAATTTTTCACTTCAAAATTGAAAATGATACATTGTATTCCATACATGTAAGTTAAAGGTTGGTCAGTTCAGTAAATTTGTCCATTCAGTCAGCCATTGACAGGGATGTCAATGTTTTGCTTCAATGTAATATTTTTTAAACTACCAGTAACCTATATAACCTATAAACCCTTCAGTTCCCAAGATCTTATCCATAATTCCCTGTTCTGGTTGTTACACATATCTCAGTAAACTGGCTCTGAGAATTGGGTGAAACATCAATAGCACCTTACAGGTGATAAGTTTGTTGTTTCATTTTCCCAGTCGAGTAAATTCAATTGTAAGGAGAAGATATGGGACTTAACGTAAGATCCTCTAATTACAAGCCAATAATTATTTTTTAAGTTCAGACTAAATATTTCCCTTGGTGCTTTCCCTAAAACAAAAACATTGAAAGCAAACAAAAAGAGACAATTGCAAACATGCAATAACATCTTAAGCACTTACACAGTTGGAACTTGTTACAGTTAACCCTTTGACCACTAAGAATGATTTGCATCAAATGTTTCCCTACAATATCACCCCTGAATCACAAACTATTGTCACATAAAAATAAAAGAAACAATCACCCTCTAAAGAAGCTCTTGATTGTTAAACAAATTATACTTGTCAGCTGATGTGCTGATATAAAGGTTTAAAAGGTTAAGCCACACTTCACATTTTCAAAGATCCCCTTCCACCCTCGACTGGAAAAAAAAAGCAGAGTTATGCGACTACTGCTTCTATGTGTATGAATAGATATACAATATTTTGCTTTGCAAGAATCTGACAGATATATTAATTTTTTTAAGAATAATATGGAAAGATTGTGACTGATGAGCATTCTTCTCTGGGTCATTACATCCCAACACTTTTTGTTGGCCTCAATGCTTGAAGAGTTTGATTCAAAGAGTACTTTTTAAAAAAAACAGATATTGTATATTTTTTAGTTATTAATACAGGATTACTTGGAAAAATCTAACTCCTGTGTCTCAAGATATTTAATGCTTAACTCTTATGGGTAAATGATAAGTAGCTTCTTTAAGTTAATTGAATAACTTAGGGTCCCTTCTACTGCACAATTTCATGTGTCAATTTAAGTAAACATTTCAATAAAGTGGCTTCAATATAACAATGCATTTGAAGTAATTGATTTCCAAAGAAATATAATGTTTTCCTTTCTTTTACTAATATTTCCTTACTATTTAAGAAGAAATCCATCTCTAAAAGGATCATCCTTTTCTACAGTGAATGTGCATTTCCCAGTGTAATATGCATTGCCTGCAACTTCTACGTGAACAGCATCAAAGTCCCCAACCTTAGTTTCCTTCACAGCCTGACCAGTGAACTGTGAACCAACCAGACCTTGCTCAAACACACGCATCTGATGCAAGCCAATTTGTTGACGTGCATACTGCACTGCAATACGTGCTGTCACTCCTGATCCTGTCGGACTCCTGTCAACCTACAAAACAAAATTTTTGCAAGTTTACTCCACAAAGAAAACTTATTTTATGGAACAGTATTATAAATGCTAATTACTAAATTTTTAACCCTGATTATTGCATTTCTATTTTTCTGATTGTTTCACTCAACTCTGGTTATCACCTCATATTCCAAGTCACCTTTCATGGAAAGCATTGTGCCAACTGTTGTGGAGCCAAAAAAAAGCTCCAAATGTCCAAAGTTCAGGATTGACTGAAATTCAAAAGAGCAATTATACCATTTGCACTTGTTGGATATGAGATTGGTTATAGCAAACTTGGTGCTATATGCATTGTTGGCTATTTACCATCTTATATCCAACAAGCACTCATGAAATAATTGTTCATTAAATGGCCCCTAATTTTGGTCCTATTAATTTTTCTTGTTGCCTTCACTCTGGGTAAACCTCACTCTATCCATGTAACCACACAACTATAATAATTATTCATTGTGCTACATAGTCTCAACATAATTATGTATCATGTCTTTGTAATTGTAGCACCTAATACTGCAAATTTATTATACAGAAACAGCAACAACAGTTTTATCTGTACCCAGAGTGAGTAAAGACAAAAGTTTTTATAATTTCTTACTTCCAGGTAACATCAGCATAAAACATGTTTTATCATACAACATACATTTAAATTACTATTTTACTACTTTTAATAAAACTTTTATTCTACTCCCGCTTGTTGGATACAAGAATCTATTATTACCAACTTGGCTCAGCTATCTATCATCTCAAAACCAATATGCACTCATAGAATGATTGTCTACTATATAGTATTGAAGTTTGTTGGTTCACTATGCAACCAGCAACCAGTGCACCTCAGAGGAACCAGTCACAAACCCCCCCTCCCAATCCACCCTTCAACACAACTGATTTGAGGTAAAACTAATCCTATTACAATCACATAACATGAGAAAATAAAAGAAAAAATAACAGGTCAGCCACAATTGATTTAAATTTTTACCCAAACCACAGTAATATATCACTTCAAAACAAGGAAAAAGTTATCTGAAGATCTCCTTTTTAAGACTTTTACTTGAGAAAGCAATCTTATCCCGCTCAAACGTAAAATATTTACTCATAATTAATCCACTTTTTAGTTTTAAGTTGTCAAATTTTCACAGAAATAAGGGAAATTACAAAAGAAGTGATATTTAATTGTGAAGCCAAACTAATTGATTGCTACGACTTGACTGGCTGAATAAGATAATGATTTCCTCCCAAGCAATTATTTCAATAAATAAAATCACCTGCCCGCAAAATGAATACATTATGCATTTCACTAAGTGATCTGGGAGTAACTTGCCATATGTAAATGAACCCTAAAATGGTTTTCACTGACGATGAGAATCTAAATTTTAAAACCGGTGACACCTGCCCTCAGAAGAAGCCATCAGAGATGATACAGATTTCGTTTGACAGCTTAAGTACTCGAATATATCGACCAGAGCAGAAAAACGATCAGGCGATTAGGATTCTTTAAGAAAATGAAACCATGTACTGCACTACACATACATATGTGTACCAAAGATTTTCAAAGTGAAGTTCGAACACACAAAGTACAGAAATTAATTTATAATTTATACTCTGATCACAAGTGTACTTTTCTGAAACCAATCTTTTTTTGCATGATCACTCTGAGCATTTGCCGTTGCAGACAAAGTAGATCTCGCTGCTCTCATTCCTTGCATTTTTCTGTTTATTTATACTAATGATGTTTCGTGCGCGGGGAAATATTAGACAGAGAGGGATCGTGGGTTACTTCCTCGAGCTGAGAAAGCGCAAACAATTGCGCAAAAATTAATAATGCCAACTGAGGATATTCTTCGATCGCAAAGTCAGATACCAAATGAAAACAAAAATAATATATTTCCAAGTTCCCTAAACGATTGCCCCCACGCTGTTTACATCGAAAGAAATCTGTAAGAACGAAAAATATAGGAAATATTCTCACCTCACTGTCCGCAAAGACACATACATTCGCTGTTGCCTCTTTTGAGTCGCTATTAAACATATCTTTGCCATCGGTAATGATAGTACCATAAAGAAAAGCTAGTTCCTCACTGTCTGGGTGGTGCAGCTTTATTTGACTTTTCCCCGCGTTGGTAATCGCATTAGCAGCTTCCACGATATCAGCGAGTCGCGACGAACGCACATCAACACCCAAACGATGCGCGGGGACTATGGCGTAGAACGCTCCCCCAAATCCAATGTCAACTTTTACTTGGCCAAACTTCTCCGTGTTTAACTCCACATCAAGTCCAAAAGCAAAAGCTGGAACAGAAACAAAACGAACACGGCCCGATTTGCCTTCTTCTATATCGACCAGGGCTTTTACCACGCCGCAAGGACACTCGATGAAAACAGGTACTTCACCCACACTCGAGCGCGATACGTCCGTACTGAGGAGGCCCGAGTCGACAGCGTAGCGACCGAGTGCTATGACAGCGTGGCCACACATGGTGCTGTATCCTTCGTTATGCATGAAAATCACCCCCAAATCGGCCATTTCGCTGTGTGGTTGGACGATCACAGCGCCATACATGTCATAATGTCCGCGAGGTTCAAACATCAAGAGCTTGCGAAGATGATCAAGGTTTTCTCGAACGTACCGTCTTTTGTCTAGAATGGTGTCTCCTTTAATCTCAGGGAAACCAGAAGCGATTATTCTCAGTGGTTCCCCTCCAGTGTGCATCTCGATAGTTGAGATCTCTAAGCCGTTTTCTTCCATCGTGACAACCAGCAACGAAAGATTCGAGTATGTTTAAAGGTGTTCAACTGAGTTGAAAACTGTTGTGTTTGACTTCCGCTGCGCTTCCCGCGCGCATGTCCCGCGGGTTAATTGAAGAGGCGGGAACTAATTAACTTCCATGGGTTTCAGGTCATAAACTCTTCACTCTTTTAAAAGCATTAACTCGCCGAAACGTGCAAGAAATCCTCAAATTTTCTTCCTACTCCTCTCCCTTGTTGTCAAATCGCTCTTAGCTCGTTCAAATTTGCTACCTTGTCGAGATATTTCAGCTGTATTGTGTGACATTTAGATAAGTGATTAGCGTTATGTGATCTCTTTTCTTGCGATTTCAATCTAGACAATAGAATCAATTAATCAGCTCATATATCGTCGTTGTCTGGGATTTAGGGTGTGTCGCACTTCAGTGATAAAAAAGAAAATCGGTACGTGATCAAAAAAACAGTGAATAAGGAAAATAAAAAACCGTGAAGTTTTCGAAGGACAGCCTGGTGTTTTTGGCATTCGCAACAACCTTACAAAAATTTATATCGTGAAAAAGCTAAGAAGCGACCCAGTCGCGGCCTTTTCCGCTGTTGCTGTCTCTTTCCTGGTCTTTCCTTTGTCATTTGCAGATTCTGCTGCAAGAAAACGGATGTTCGTCTCCATAAACGTAGGATTACAGCAGGTAGGTTTGCAGCACGCAGGAATATTCTCGGTATTGTACGGTGGCCCAAAGAGGACATGTCACATTTTTTTTTTATCGCGCGATAAATGGGAAACTTGTTGGGTCGCACTCGATCGGCTGTCACGCACTTTGTTTCCGTGGACGCGACGACAATGGTTGCAACAGTTGGAAAGTTCTTTCGCAGTCTAGAAATTTACAAACCTATAATGTAATCAGAGAGAATAGATGATCCACACTTGTTCTCAGACACTTAGGGCCATCTCCGAAAGTGTCTCTTAAGATTACGCAAACCAAGGTTTACTGTACTGGTTCACAGAGCTATGTGTCGTAGAAGTATTGAAAAGTACTGCTCAAGGATCTTTTCACGAAAAAAAAGAACTATTTACCTCAAGACATTCCTCCTCAACTGGCAGCCATTGTAGTCCACGGAAACAACGTGCGTGACAGCTGATTACGTGAGACCTAACAAGTGTGTCATTTATCGCGCGATAATTTCCATTTATCGCGCGATATTTTGATTTTATCGCGCGATAAAAAAAATGTGGCAAGTCCTCTATGGGGCCCCGTAGTATTGAGAACACTATCTGAATCCAATTAAAGCAGAAGTCTGAAATTAAGTCTGGATTTTACATATCAGTGAAAAGTAACGCGCTAACCAAAGAAGACACCCTTTTAATGGCCTACAGTGGTCAGTGCTGGGCTATTGATAGATCTGTGTTCAAGACATGTACCTCTCTGAACCCATAACTGGGTTCACCGGTTCTACGAATTTTTTATGGGAAAAATTTCAGAAACTCCTGATTACCAAGAAATCACTATTGAAAAACCGATACACTGAACCAGCTAAGACTATTTTGATCAGGGGCGTGTTCTCTGCAGTAATTACCAATCATCACCTTGGGTGATCTTTGGCAAGAGATTTTTAACGAGTTAGTCTATTGGACTTAGCTATTAGGAATTACATCCCTACGACATTAATATATGCCAGAACTCCCGTGGTTGCACCATGTGAAACTGAGATTTTTGTAATTCGCAAATCAGCGAGGGTTTCACTCTTTTCTGGGGTATTCCTGAGGGTAGGTCCTGAGTTTTGGGAATCATGAGGTATTAGACGACTAAGATGGCTGACTATTTTAGAGACTTTTTATTCTGGAGGTATTCCTGATACCTTTTTAATGTGTTTTTGTATTTAGAAAAATGAGCAAGTCCTGGTAATGATTCATGGGATCCGCCATGTTCATAGTTAAGTACGACTGATCAAACATTTTCTCAAAAAAAGTTTACTATCATAGATTTAGATTAAATCATGACAGTGGCTCCAACTCCTTTTGAACAAAATTTTTTTTGCATAATTCAAATTTGAGCCATGATTAACGAGAGGGGCATTGGGATTTTCGGTTTTGCGGTTTTGGCCAATTTTTTAGATCGGTTTTTCTGTTTTTGTGCTAAAAAACTTCGGTTTTCCTGGTTTTGGTGTTCCTTGTGGTTTGCAGATTTTTTTAGCATCTGATTTTCTGTTTTCGCGAAAAATATTAACGGGTTTTCGAATTTGATGTCCAATACGGTTTTTGGTTTTCCTATTTGACCTATTTGGGTTTCGGTTTCTCTTCGATCTGAGTGGCAATTCCGCGCCTCCAATTATCTCGAATAGCAGCCAAACGCAAACGTTATCGAGACGAATGCGTGACAGACTAATTGAAATATCGCAGGGATCCCTAGGTAGACTACGTGTAGCCGTACCCTCCCCCGCTAAGGTGGGGGGTACGGCTAAGCTTAGGAACATTGCTAGGGTTTCTTTATCAACGCCACCTCGAAGTTGGTGACCAAGTTACAGGCCTCCAAATCTCCAAACGTTCGGGTCTTAGTTCGCAAATGGAAACGTTAGATTAGGGATTTTCGATGAAACTTTCCAGAGCTATAGCTTTTTGCGACTGCAAAATTACAATCTTTAATTTAACTAGGCTCCATTACCAGCTGCTGAGTCCGCAGAGATCACGCTCGAGGTCCTCGAGAGAGCAGCTGTTAATTTAAGCAGACACTAGAAGGTATGAACGCCAAGCCCATGGCATTCATAAATCCTGTAATGAAATTAGTGTAGTTTACTATGTATGCTCCGCTTGTCACCACTGTATCAGATCGATCGGGGTTTTAATAACTGGGATGTGAAAATATATCGGTTTTGAGAGTTTTTCATGCGGTTTTCGGTTTTGATCGATTTTTTTTCGATTTTTTGGTTTTGGATGATTTTTTCTACGGTTTTGCAGTTTCTTATAGGCCCCAGTGCCCCCCCTCATTAACGACCAGCGCTGTCAAAATTAATTTTGCCTGACGGAGATCTAGGCACTAGAATATTCTCTCCCTGCCGGCAACGATGGCAGTCTGGTCCGAGATATTTACATATCACTTCCGTCTTCAGCCCGAGCAACAATCCGTAGCTGCTCTACTTTGACAAGGCTGCAATTTAGGGACGAGATCAAGCTCTTACGCAGTCGTTCTTGAGACTTGAGGTATCCTCTTTATATCTGAACTTAATTGAGAGGTTTTCTTTCGCCCTTCTTCGACACGGGGTACCGAAAGCAGTGTGGTTCAACCCGTTTGTGAGTGTTTGTTGCCACTAAAGGAATATTTGCAAATTTCTGCGACCTTAGATGTTCAATTCCTGAATATTTCAGAAATTTCCCGGAATCGCAGCTTCGCATGGTATACGGAAATACCGGGTGATATAACCACGGTAACGATATCTACAAAAGCGTGCATTTAGTCCACTACGAAGCCAGTTGTAATATGATTAGAGGTTATAATAGCAAATATAGCAGAGTGGGTAATTACATTGCAAACGCATAGAGCGAATCAAAAGCTAAACCAAGGCTGAAAACTGATGGCCAGTCCATCGGACTCTCTCTCTCTCTCTAGGTTTTCTCGTCGAAACCTTCGTACTGAAAATGTCAATGTTCTGGAGTATTTTGAACGCCGATTAGATGATTACGCGTATATTATTACGTCCTTCGCATTGCAATGCGATGAAAACAACACCAGTGATATAGGTTTCCCCAGCATTTGGCATTATTTGAAGAACCTCGTTGACTACTTGGCAAAGCCGACCATTTGGAATGTCAGAATACGTAATTCTAGGTCCAGTTGTTTCATTTACTACCAAGGAATACTGGTGTCGCCTTCTCAAGACTGTTTCGTAAGACACACCAGCCTCCTTAGCTACTTCTTTCCAAACACCATGAATATCATGCAGTCCTCGAATAACTTCCTCAGGGATCTGAAATCCTGGCCTGCCAGGCCTTCGTGACCATTTAAACCACTGATATTTTCATGCAAAAGGTAACGCAACTGAAGAAGTCCTCACTGGTATTCAGGAGTGCTTCGCATTGCAATGTGAGGGACCTAATAACATACGCGTGATCATTTAATTGGCGTTCAGAATACTCCAGAACATTAATGTTTTCAGTGCGAAGGTTTCGACGAGCGTGATGGGAGAGCGAGGGCCGGATCGAACGTTGCAAAGATCTCTCAAAATCATCAATCATACTAGCGACTAAATACAGGAATGGCTCCGACCTGTAATTAGATGATAAAAATAGTAAAAGTTAATAACTTATATCTTAACTCCTTGCTCGTGAGTATGGTTAACCGCGTGTCTCGAAGCGGAACAATGAAATATTAATGTGAAAACACCGATGAGTCAAACAAGAAATGGCTACTTACATAATGAAGAGAAGGTAGAGTCTAGCTTGTTCAGCGAGGTCATTCAGCGATATACCGGCGATGAAACAGTCATCCGCTGACAAGCTCCGCTGACAAAACTCATTTAGTCAGTTTAGGCGGACGACCAGAGACTGGAGCCATTCGTGTATTTCACTGCAGACAGGAATGGCTCCAACTCATGCGTAGATTAATTTTTTTTTTCGTTCTGGCTAAATAATTTATGCACTGAGATAAAAACTGAAAGAGCGATTTATTAGATTCTTCTTATGTTGAAGTCTACAGTGCCTGCAAATGAAGCCCTCTTTTATTACTACAGGGCCATGTAGTTTCTAAGTTTTAAAATACTGCAGCAACTGCATCTCGCGTTTGGAAAATCACGCAATGTTGCGTGACGCTGCGACCAATGTTTTTAATTTACAGTATGCTCTGCTGGAGAAATATGGCTTGGCCACAATCGAGGGAGTTTTTTTTCGTGGAAAACTGATTTTCTAGGTTATTGTTCACATGAAGGACAAATCCATTCAGCGGGCTCTTCATCTGTTTTTGCACAACACCTAAAGGAAGAAAGTCGCGAATTAATTTTGCTTGGTAATTTCTAACAACTCCACTAGACCTAAAAAAGGAA